GTCGTCCGACCGACTATGCGATGCGGTTTCTCGGCGAACTAGTGCGAACTCGAACATTCCACCTTTTCACGCATGTCAATTGACTGCGGTCGACGGACTACTTGAACTCAGCCCTTTAAACCGCCTCTGCGCTCTCTCGCGGGTCCCTCTCCTCTCCAAGGCTTAGTCCTAGGGCATTCACCCGTTCTCTAATCGTCTGTGCTCTAGCCATCGCGGCAGGACCATTGAGGAAAAATCAAGTAGTCCGTAAACCCTCACCCCCTTCCCCTCCACCACCGTGCACTGGCTACACTCTCCCTGGCTCGGAGTTACCCTAGCTTCCCGGAAAAACTGCATCATGATGCTCCTCACCGCTGACTGGAATAGACCCCGAGTTATGCATCACCTATCCATCAATCAACTGGAATTTGTAATATTTTTAGTGCTTTAATATATACATGTGCACTTTAGCGAAAATTCGTGATATTACCACCATCTTTTATTGGATCGAATCGAAGTTAATGAGAAGCAGTGATGGTAAATTCGGCGCTCTACCAGTAATGGGGGTATCTGGCGTAATTACTGGTGCTACTTGTCCAATTTTCCGCAATGGAAGGAACGTCTGAGGTGCGTGTAAGTGAAAGCGAAGCGTCCACGCACCTTGAGGATTCATCCCCTCACGAGCAACTGAATTGCTTTAGAGAACTAAATTTTACACCGCAATGCCTACCCCCCTCCTTCTCTCTTACTGCCCCTACTGGAAGAGCGACGTAAATTACGCCCAGTTTCAATGAAAAGAGTACTTCCTAAGCTGAATTGATTTGATATTTGGAGTTAACCAAAGTTTGCAGGCAACAGAGGATGAAATAAACAAAGCATATCGAAAACGTTGTCTTATATTTCATCCCGATCGACACAATGACGAAGATGACAAAAAAGAAGCCGAGAAAATTTTTGTGCAACTTCGCCGTGCTCACGAAAGTACGTCAATCGTTTACATATTTCATTTTATATTACTCCTGTGCGTACTTAACATATTTGTTGCAGCTCTTACTACTTTGATGGGACTTTTGGATTGAAAAATTACTTGGCTGATCATTCTTCCCTGGTACAATTACATTTTGCAGCCCTGTTGGATCCGAAAAAGCGAGCCATTTACGATGCTCTTGGCGTACAAGGCCTCGATACACAAGGATGGGAGCTTGTGTCAAGATCGGCGAATCCTGAGAACATCAGGCGAGAGTACGATTTCTTGCAAAGGTTGAAGGAGCAAGAGCTCATGTTGCGAGAGGATACATCGTCTGTAAGTATGCTAGATTCATTTTTTGTACTTTATGATCACTTTACTGCTCTTATCTTGTTTAGAGTGGATTTGTTGTGAAGACATCATGTGCAGGTTTATTTCCGGAGGATCCAGACGATAGGTATTCGAGTTCGTAGCGTCTGCTTGTTTTTACATCCAATGAAAGTAGTGATACTGTTGTCTTATTGTAAAAGTGCAACTGGTTTCGTCATGGTGGAGTGCAGCAATAGTATCCTATTGACCGGTGTCGATTTACTAGGAATCAGCCTAGTGTATTCGGTATGCGAGCCGATGCACAAGGGGTAGTGCCGTCCACAAGCGACTCGACAATATTGCGGACTGACGGCGAGATGTTCTCTTTCGACCGTCAGTGTTAGCTTTATCTTCCCAGGTGGCGATGATAAAGAGCTTGGGAAAGTGCCGAAAGTTAACGTGCGCGCATGAGAGGGACCCTCGCCATCTCACACTGTCGAGTCACTGATGCATCATTCAAACCACTGGCGCATCACTTGTACCCCGCGGTTCGCTGAATATGCGAAGTCTGACAGTGGTCTATCGTAGGCTTGTAGTTAAGTAAAATGTATGGAGGGCGAGTGGTCTTATAAGGCTTATTGCATTATTCCTTGAGTGTATCTTCTTCCAATAAGTCGCTGTTCCTTTTGCTTTTCTTGAGATGAACTGGGTGCTCGGTTTTCTTTACTTCGGTAAATGGTTCCTATGCCGTTTGTGGTTGCTCACGGTTTCGCAGTGACGTTCTTACACATTATCCAGTGGTTTGACGAAAGGAGGAGATGAGTAGTGTAGAAAGTCAAATGCGTAAGGGCGCATATCCAGCTACTTTCTTGTAATGAAAGCTCTCTTCTAAAAGACGTCGTTTTCTGGAAGATTATTGTTTTGATAATTCATTTCATTATAGGTACCCTCCACAACTTATTGGAATATCTATTACCCAATCAGTGGATTGTGCGATGACTGAGGCAGACCGAATTGGACTTGTCGGTAGGGTCAAAACTGGTAATGGACGAGGCGATGGTAATGTTTCCCTTCTGTGGAAGAAGAACGCAGGAAAATTTCACATCGAGGTAATTATTTTCATGGTATTGGAGGGAGCGCAGAAATATGGAGGAAGAAAGTGACGAGATTTTCACTATTCCAGAACACGCTTACCGCATCTAGTGATGTGCTCAATCTATCGTGTCGTATCTCTCGAAGTCTCTACACTCGGGCAGCTTTCATAGTTCAGCCCTCTATACAGTATTTTCCCATGCAAGAAACGTTTGCGCCAGCACTGTCATTGAGTGAGTGCTTGATCGTTTTTTCTTTTCCTTTCTGTTCCCTCGTTTAATCGTCACCGTCGTCAGACATTTCAAAGCTTCCACTCTGAAATGACATATGTTATGAGTCCATAGTGCTTTTTTGTTTGATGTGTTCTGTACGAGGCGACAGTGAAATTTCTGCTTGTTTCGAATGTTACATAAAGCAGAAGTTGATCAGAGTGCTATCGACAATTACTAGTGCTGATATTTGATTAAAATTTCAGTTTATTCTATGCGCTTACGAGTTCGTTGGCAGGGAAGTATCATATTAAACCTGACTCCGGCTGGAAGTGCTCTTACAACTACCTTAGTCCATACAGAAAATAACCAGCCAAAAGCGGTCGTCAACTTTACGGTTAGATCACTTTGTTTTCCTTGCGTACACTTCCTTACACAATGCAAATTTTGCTTCAGTTGTCTCCTACAAATTCTAATGTACGATTGGTGTACTTTGTTCGTAATCCTGAGCGCGATGCTTTCACTGAAACTGCCCTGCAGTTATCGATGTTCGGTTCGTTTCCTCCTTTGTTATTAGGCTGAATTTATATCTTCTTTTTACGTTTTGAGATTGTAAATCTTTTATTGTTCATATGATTCTCAGGAGTTACGCCATCTATCCATTTTGAACGGAGATTGTCACGGTTTTCACGAATCGGATGTGCTCTGCTTTTTTCTTTCCCTTCCTGCATGTTGTCCGCTAAGTTCAAGTCAGTTATTTTCAGTTCATACAAGGGATTATAAAGTTGATCCATCGGAATTTTTTTGTTCGATCTTTGAGACTTGTTTTTTTTAAGTCTCGTATTAGTGAAGGAATATCTTTCCATTTTTGATATCGTTTTCCTGGTATTATAGGCTCAAAACAGGACAGTCATCCTTCGAATGGCAAGTAGTGTTGTGCGATGATCGCGAGGCTTTGGCCAGAAGTGCAATTTACGGTGTCGTTGTACCTGTCGTTTTATTTCATCTTGCAACTAAGGTACACGCTTTTATCAGTTGTTAACTAATTATTGTCTGAACATCTTGTCTAGGTTGTGTTCCGGCGATGGTACGATCGTTTCACATCGCTTTTCGACGATCACAGTCACGATCGCGAGGTAAGGCTATATTGTTCGTTGAACTGGCGCGTTGCAGCAGACATCTTTTCCCCAGGATCCTGTTTTCATTAGGAGCTTGAAGTCGTACTTGTTAAGTAATGGTTATGATTCTGCTAATTGCTCCATTTTCATCGTCTTGTGTCGGCTAATCAGTCTGCAGACTAGGTTTTTGAAGACGTGAGCCGATGTATCACTGAGAAGCAGTGTGAGCGTAAAAACAAGCAAACCTTATCAATACCTATGTTTGAGCGAGGGCGAAGAAGAGCATCTGTTAATAACAGTGTACTTTTTTGGAACGATTTTCATCCTTCTTATACCAGTTCCATCGATTTTCTTCCTCTTCCATAGAAGCAGTCGCTTTGCACGATTGTGACAGCTCATGCGTTCGTTTTGTTCTTATAACACATCCTCGTACACCCCAGAAGTACTGCCGTAGCATAGTATTCGTGGAAGAAATGAATGATCTCTATTAGCTTCTTCCACTGATACACATGCCTCCCAATTCTTCAGTACATGTTTGAAGTACTGTACATTGGGAATGTATGGTTTTTCGGGTTTGTACATATTGGAGTTATTTAACACAAAGTGACTGTCCACAAAACTCGTACTGCTGATCTTCAACCGTGGGTCGCAACTGCACCTTAGAAATTCATATTCTGCTCGTAAAGGTCAGAGTTCGAGTAAGCAAGAGTTGACCATCTTTATCAGTGCTTCTCATCGAAGTGAGAACACCTGTCAGGCCGTTATCAGGCAAGTGCGTGCACCCCTTATGTGTCGCTCGGATACCGTGTATTTTTGACATGTTCTCGAAACTTCCATTGTAGCTGAATAATCTGTGGAAGCGAATGACGCAATTGCTAAATCTATAATGAAACCTGCAGACTGTCGCGGGGATAACATTGCCTTTTTTGCTTCAATGTTTGTTGAACCTTCTAAACTCCCAAAAGACTACCTACTTTAAGGTTGATACGGTCAAACAAGAAGAAGCTGCACGTATAATAAATCTAATGCGTCCGACAGCCGACCGTATTCGGCAAGAAGAACAACGGAAACTTGGCGTAGTGATCATAGAGGCCAGGTAGTTTCTTTTCTTATCTGGTTCCCTTTTTTTCGCCTTTTTTGATATACAATATGCGATTGTTTAAATATACATAGTATCTTTCTTTTTTTCGGGAATATAGCTGTCATAGTTTTAACGTAACATTCTGTGCACAGATACGGACAGTGCGAGTCTAGTGGGTCATCTTCGTATATTCTTGCTGGAGACCGAACAATTGACGTCACAGTTCCTCTTCAAGCTATGGTTAATGACTCACAATTAAGGATTTATTCAGTAAAGGTTTGTGTGGTATGAATAGCTGTAATTTCTTACGATTATAATATTGTATTCGTTGCAGAGCCAATTGCCGGGCTTTTATGATCCATGCCCAGGGGAACCAAAAATGCTTCACATTAGGTATATGTTCCGGGACGAGCCGCACACGGTCACCGTATCGGATGATATGCCAATACAAATACCAACGAAATGTATGTTGGATTTACCCATCCGTTTTTCTTCCATCAGCAGTCTTTTTTGGTCAACTAATTAAATCCATTTCAGCTCATCGCATTTCCCAGACAAAAACATGATCATTGTTTCGAATAATTTCGACTTCATCGTATGTTTGTGGTGTGTTCTGCGACCTGTACTTATTTTATGGACAAATAGCGGGCAATATTACTAATTCTGACTTCAGGTTATGAATGAATTCTATATCATCGCTAGCGCTCATATGAGTTTTATGTGTCGTCTGTTCAATACCGGTTTGTCGGCGGTGATTCACCCCATCACATGGCAATCGCGCTCGCATATTATTGAAAGGCGCTTTCTGCTGCTGTTTTCTTCTCCGCGCACAGTACTCCAATCATCAGCGAGATATTGATTGTATTCATGTGTTTTCATTAATGGCGACTTCAAGTTTAGGAGTAAATCGTCTGTCATTTAAACGTTGTGCAGTGGAACGACAGCACTCATTCGTTTTGTTCATTAGCATTCGTCAGTTCCCTTTTGTTAAGTATCTCTTCTGTTCTTAATAAGAACATCATTTTCCCAACAAAGTGCCACTTTTTCCTGGTAATATTTTTGATGATGCGGTGACTGTGTAGCCCACTGTTGTGGCCTTTATGCTCAATCCCTATTTTTGTAGGTACTGTGTAGCAGTTTAATGTTTTTATTTTTGTTACACAGAGTACATCACTAAGATAATGTTGTTGTTTAAATTCTTGTTGAATGTGATTGTTATATTCTCGTTATTTAGGGTATTCGATTAGGAAGTTAGTGTCGAGTTATAGTTAGCCATAGAAAGTGCAGTATATTCATAAACACTAGGATGAGATTGCGAAAAGGTTCGAGTGTTCAAAAAATACCTTTTTGTCTTTCTTTTATGTTGGACTGAATGAAATAAATGTTTAATATTTTATGTTTGGCCTTGATTTCTCGTTAAATCGCACTATTTCTTTAATTTCGAATTGCTTCCAGTATTTATTTGCTGCCAAGGTTATAACTTGGTATTGTGAATACAATTCTAACCTCCGATCTCAGAGCAGTATGCCGAACAATAAACACAGAGCGGAGCCTGACGTAAACAATGCAGCTGCGACCCCATCCGCTCCTGCAATTGGGCAGAGTGAAAGACAGACAGTGAGGTAAGCGATATAGGTGTAAGGAAAAGATTTTGTTGTTAATTGTATCTGTTGTAGCGCTAGAAGTAACTCTGACAAGAAAAATCAACATTACCATCACCATTCATAGCTGACAGTCAATTCTATCTCTAGAGCGGGAGGATCAGACTCGTGCATGAGGCAGCGGCATGTCATAACTCAGCAACCTTTTGATAGTTGTCATATATTTGCTTCGAAATTTAACACGTTGACAACAGCGCGCGTTTCATCTTTTTTTGGCGGCGTGAGCAAGCGCGGTTTTACGAGGGCGGCCGCCTCACCTCACATCCGTAAATATTGAGTGGTAGCTATGCTTAACAGAGTGGCTTAAAACCATTTCAGCGATATTCACTGCGTAGTTGATCGGGATATAGTGGTGGAATTAGTATTAAGAAGTTGTAGTGGGAATGAAAAATCGGATTTTACTCATTTTCTGTGTAATGGACGTCAAAAGTGATTTTCACGTGGTTATGTTAAGAAAAACATATTTTGCTATCTGTATAGGATGGCATGTA